TAACCACCAATATCACCATTCGTGTCACGTGTGTCTCGCCCGCATGTTCTGATATAAAGATCCTACTCTAGCGGCCCCACCTCACCAACGCTATATGCCTTCTCTCGCAGACGACCAAGCGACCTCTGACGGCCGGCACCCTGTTCAAAAACTCAATGATCGCGCTCATCAACAACCTGGCGAGCAAGCAGCCGCACTACGTGCGCTGTATCAAACCCAACGAGGAAAAGTCGCCGGTTCTGTTCGACCGGGAGCGCGTTAGGCACCAGGTCAACTACCTGGGTCTCATCGAGAACGTGCGCGTGCGCCGCGCCGGCTTTGCCTACCGACAGAGCTACGACCGGTTCCTGCGGAGGTGAGGACACGGCGGGGTGTTTGGTGGGTGTGGTTTCGGGTGTTTTCGGGTGCAGCAGACCTCCTGTCACGGAGATGGTTCTGCAGAGAGGGGAGGAGTGCAGGATTCCGGTGTTTTGAATCGTGCTCAGGAAACAGGCAGGAAAACATCGGGTGGTATTTGTAGCCCTCTGAGCGTCAACAACCTCTGAAAGGCAGTGTTGATTCAGGCCTAGACGGTGACAGCGGATTCATCGGAAAGGCATTCGTCACTTTTTAGCGCGTGTTGTCGTTTCACAATAGTATTGTTGGCGAAGTGCGAATGACGCAGCCGCTTGCACTGTTGTCTGGCCTTCCTAAGAATTCCTACCCCACCCCTTTGTGTCCTACAGATACAAGATGATCTCGCAGTTCACGTGGCCCAACTTCCACGGCGAGTCGGACAAGGAGGGCGTCAAGATTCTCATCAAGGAGCAGAACTTTGTTGACGACGTCAAGTACGGCAAGACCAAGATCTTCCTGCGCTCCCCGCAGACGCTCTTCAAGCTGGAACAGGTGAGAACAGTGATCCTTGAGTGATCCGAAGCCTCTAGGCTGAGTTGCCGTTTTCAAAACCTCGGACTATGCCAACGGACGAAGTCTTTAGGCATCCAGGCACTGTGGCAGATAGATGGTAAAGCGGATAACTCACGTATGCTCTTACGAAACGTGTTTGTTTTCAGGCGCGAGGCCGGCTCATCCCGCACATAGTGATCTTCCTGCAGAAGATGTGGCGTGGCGCGCTGTGCAGGATGCGCTACAGGAAGATGCTGGCGGCTCGTACCATCCTGCACGCGTTCAGGCGGTACAAGCTGAGACACTACATCAAACAGCTCAACACGCTCTTCAGGTGTGTGAGACGGCCTGGTTATGGGAGGATGAGTGGGGCTGTGCATTGTCCTTACGATCCGTCAGAGTAATTTATATCCCACAGGTCGTAATGAATCGACAACAGATGTGCAGTTGCAAGCACTTCGGCTACACGCTGTGAAATGTGTACCTACCGTTAGCTAAGTGATAACGAGTGATATCACATATTTCCTGCCGGTGCTGGCTGCAACATACCCTGTTCTGTTTACTATGTATCCCATCAACCCGCAACCCCCCCCCCCCCCACTGAACCCTCGGCCCCGTCCTACCCCCTCCCACCAGCCCTCCCCGCTCTCACCCCTACCGTTTCAGACTCTATCACGCACACACCCAGCGCAGCCGCCCTAACCACCAGCCGCCCCCCCCCCCTCCCCCCGCAGGAACGTGCAGCGCTCGCCGGACTTTGGTCGCTCGGTGCGCTGGCCGCCGGCTCCCCTGGTGTGCCGCGGTGCCGTCGGCCACCTGCAGGCCATCCACCTGCGCTGGTGGGCCTTCATGGTACTCAGCCGGATCCCGGCCGACGAGCGGCCACAGATGAGGCTCAAGGTGAGCCACGAACGGGCTGAAAATGAGCTAAAAACGAGCGCAGTGGGAGCCAAATGGGTTCAGGGGGAGCCAGCCGAGCTGAAAGTTAGCCAATCGGCCCAGTAGAAACCAAACGAGCTCTGGGTAAGCCGAACAGATGAACAGCCAAAACTCAGCATGGGCTAAGCGACCAGAGGGCTCCAGCGCTCAAGCAGGCGCACACTGGATCTCTGTGCGCATGTCTTCTTCGAAGCTTGTGATCTTCTTGCAACCCTGATTGACAATTGTCATTGCCTGCATCCCATTGACCAATGTTCTATCAATGACCGGTGCCTTGTCTGACCAGTGACCTTCACTGACTGGTTAGCACCCACTGACCTATACCCGCTCCATCTACAGGTGACGGCAGCGGACGCGCTGCAGGGTCGCCGGCCCGAGTGGGGCGCCGGCCGCCGCTGGCAGGGCAACTACCTGGCCTCTGTGCAGGAGAACTCCAACACGGCCGGCTACGTGCAGAGCCTCTCTCAGCTGAGGACCAAGGACAGGTTCCAGAAGGTGGGCATGAGGGGCACACCCATTGACGATGAATTGATCGGCGGACGGGGTGCTGGGCTGAGCAGGGTGGGGATGCTGAAGGGACGAGTCCGGGGTGCTGGGACGAGCGGGCTGGGGCGCAGCTGGTCACTGGTGGAACCGACATGGAGTGCTTGTCACTGATATAATAACCGATCCGGGGTTGGAGAGTGCCGACCTAGTGTGTCGCCAGCCAATAGTATTGAAAGCTGGTTAGGGTTACAATAGAGCGATATCAGGCTAACAGCTTGAGCCAGGACCGGCCATTTGTCGAGACGTCCGCACCGAACCAAGGCCGCATTTGAGCCAGCATTGCGTCATACCAGTGCAGTGTTTTACTGACTGCACTCGCAGTCTGAGCCATTTGGTGGCTCTTGAACCACGTTCTTTACTCCCTGCCGTCGTAGTTTCGGTATCCGCTGACTGATTTCCCGTTCCGCCCGTTCTCAGATCATGTTCTCTGCTCTGGTGCGCAAGTTCAACCGCAACAACAAGATGGCGGAGCGAGCCGTCGTGGTCACCGACACAAACATCTACAAGCTGGACGCCAAGAAGTTCAAGTGCCTGACGTCACATCCGATCGCCGATGTGAGTCTCCAGGACCTTATTCTACATAGTGTCTAGTTGGTCTGTCAGTCTACCTGCTTGTCGCCGATCCAGGCCATGTTACTATCCCCCAGATGAATAGTGTGCTACGGCACCTTCCTCCCTTCCAGGATGACTGGTGTGCCTTTCCCTCAAGTGGTCGGCGTACTTCCCCAGTCCCACTCTGAAGTAACCAATGTCCCCACTTCAGGTGACCGGTGCGTCTCTTCCTCAGGTGGTTAGCGTGCCTCCCCCACTCTGAAGTGACCGCCCCCCCCCCCCCCAGGTGACGGGCGTGTCCGTGTCGCCACGCTCTGACCAGCTGGCCGTCATCCACCTGCGCGGCGGTAACGACCTGGTGGTGGCCCTGGTGGCCGCCAAGGCCGAGGACAGAGTCGGCGAGCTGGTCGGCGTCGTGTGCCGACAGTACAGCGCGTGAGTCACACCGCCTGCCTGCGAGCGTCGGGCGGGTCCCGGGGTCAACAATCTGCGCTATATTCTGGGATGCTGCTTCGAGCTCGTGCTATTTTCCGTTGATTACCTTTGTTTTAGTCAATACGTAATTTTCGTACCCCAAAGCAAATACCCATACCTACTAGGCAGCGTTCGCTGCCTGTAGACAGCGAACGCTGCCTAGCGTCAATACTTATCGTTCGTATCGTTCGTACTTCGTAATCTATCACACTAAAGATATCACACTGTTACTACTCTCTAGGAAGCGGAGATAGTGCGATATTCGACCTCATTCCTCAACAGTTAACTTTTACCGCGCTCTTCTGTTGCCTAATCTCTATATTTTTCCCCTCCCCTCCATAACTCCCTCAGCGACTGACAGCTCTCCCTCCACCCTCAGTCTTCACTCTTTCCCTTTCAAGTGGCTGATCGCGCCCTCCCGCCTCACTCAGTATTCACACCCTCCCTTTCAGCGACTGGCCACTCCCTCCCTCCTCAGTCTTCACTCCCTCCCTCCTCAGCGACTGACCGCCCTCCCAGCGACTGACCGCCCTCCTCTCTACTCTCCTAGCTCCCAGGGCGGCGAGCTGAGGGTGCTGGTAGCAGACCGCCCTCCTCTCGCCCTCTCAGCCTCAGCCACTGACCGCCCCTCTCTACTCTCCCAGCTCCCAGGGCGGCGAGCTGAGGGTGCTGGTAGCAGACCGCATCCAGTGCATGCTCGGCAATAAGGCCAAGACACTGACTGTGGAGATCGCGCCCGATGCCCAGTTCGCTTCCTACCGCAAAGGTGCTACCAAGGACGCCATCGCGCTGGTGTGGCCCCCACACCTCGGCCCGCCGCCGGCCTCCATCGCTAACGGCGTGAAGAACGGCAACGGGCGAGTCCACTGAGCCGAGGGGAGGTCACATGGACGAGTCCATTCGGAACTCTGAGGTCACAGTTGAGAGGACCGCAAGGGAACACAACAAGGGTTGATTGGTTTGGGGAGGGAGGGCGGCTGATATCGTGCGTGTGGTGCAGCGTTGGAGAGCGACGGACGCTACCGAGAAACTGTGTGCCAGACGAGAGTCGCTGGCGTGTGGGACACCGATCAAGTCGCTAGATGAACTTATACTACATGCTAACTACGTGCAAGTGGCGAGTCTTTTTGCCGTGCTGGTTTTATGTGCTCCGGAGTCCCCAGTGTGGTGGTGCTTGTAGGCGCCTCGCGCTGGTTTGTCCCGAGCGCCTTCCACGTTGGGAGCTCGGTCTGCTGCGTCAACTGCTTTTATGTGATAGTCGCCTGACGCGCGTGATAATCCGTTCCGTGGCGTGCGGTAGGCAATGAATGAACGCGCTTTTAGATAGGTTTATAGGATCTATTTTTGAGACGTGTGTGAATTCACGCCGGCCAGATGTTAATTATTGAATGAATGTAATTTCCAGCTTTTGCTGGTGACCAGGAAATTGACTGTTGACTGATTGTTGACTGTGTTGTGTCTGTGTGACTTGATTGTGAAATGCTACTGATTCGCCTATCAAGACTGTGCCTCATAAATGACCGTTGAGCGCGACGCGTTTTCTGATGGAGAATGAGACCACGTTCACTCCCAGTATCGCTATCTGAGCAATCCAAAGCCACTGTTCCCGGACGTTCTGTATTCGACACACACACACACACACACGTTGACTGGCTGGTGCAGACATTAGGATATGGAGTGCAGCCACCAACACACCACGCTCGCGGCAACATCGGCCCGGGACGGCCGACCCGACCCGTCCTGTCCTAACGTCATTAGGACCTTCGAGGCCTGCCGGCGGGCGCATCGACACCCGAACACGGTAACACTGAGACCCGGCGCGGACACTGCCGTGGAAGGGAGCGCGCAGGGACGAGACGGTCACACCAGAGGTGCAACATCGCACCAACACCGAGGAACATGGACCCAGCAGTCCGGTACACAGAGCAGAAGCATAGGCTGTCCCAGTCAGACTAAAGGCAGGGAAGACAACGTTTTGGACAAAAAACGAAAGAAACAACATCGAATCTCCACCTATATCCGTTTGCGGAGTTAACATATAGCACACCAACGCATATCATGTGAACACTTGCACCAAAAAGATCTATAAGTACTAATTTTACATATTTGAAGAACGTAAAAACCAAACTCTTTCCTCTTCGAGCTATCACGGAAAAAGCTCCATACATATGCACGACGCATTTTCGACTTTCGACCGTTATGGAAGCCGGACTATGATACGCGATCACAAACCGTTCCCGAGACTGAAAGGACACATACACTCGGCGGTTGAGCTGACTAGGCCGGATGGTCTCCGATAATAGATAGAACTATTCCCACCATACATCAGACCATACCTCTAACAGCCGAATGTCGTAAGCCAATAAGCTCGATCACTTTGGACGTGTGGGACCCAGTTCGCCCATTACCGGCCCATTTCGGCCTCAGCCGGTACCAACTACCAATGGTCACAATCCTATCTAGTGCCAGACCCAAGCCGTGACCTAAAAAAGCCTTCACTGTCACTACACTAATAAATAAAAAAAAGTAAATAAATTGCCAATATTCCATGCCTAGGAAGCAGGTATTATATATTTCATATTTGTGTAAATAATTCAGATATAATATCAGGAAATACCAGCTAAAAGCCTCTACGAAATCGACAGCTATTCGATCGATATCGAAATCTAAGTACATTCCTATCAGAGAACGTATGATCTTCACTATCCCTGAGTAAGGCAATTTCCCTAGCGTGATTTATACGCTTGAGCTATGCTGAATTCTGCCAAAGCCACCAGAAAAGTCGAAAATTCTGTTTTTTTTATACATCCCGTAAGCCGTAAGGCTCAAGGTCAATAGGTAAGAGGAAAGGCACCCGAGATCCTTCGAAGATCCTAGCTGTTGGATACCGGTCAATCGGTATTTCAGAACAATTTTGTCGCCTGTTTTATCAGATGGATGCCCGTCACCCCAGTCCACTTCGATCTCGTCTGGATTCACTCCACCACAAATTGACAGTTATTCCGTCTATGTCCACTCGGCCTGAGCCCGATGTGGGCCCACCTGAGCTGGCCTGTCCCAAACTTCACTATAAGCTAAATCCAGTCCGGCACACCTAGATCGGCCTAGACTCTCACACGTCCGATGCCTCCCTTCAGGGGCCGACTTGAACCCCGTACGGGCGGCCCAATTTAGCCCTCTCTGAACCCCATTCGGCACATCTCGGCCTGTCTCGGATTAGTCTGAATCAGCTGTGTGGCCGCTAAACTGGCGGCCGGACGCCGGTTTGGTTCCACTGTATACCTCTCAGTCGGTAACTGATTTGGGCACACTCTGGGTCCATCGTAGTCCTTCCCCTTCCCCTTCCCCTCAGCTGGTCACGTCCTGAGAGCCCTCAGCTGGTGATTTAAGAACCCTCTGTAGGTGATAGAGCCCCCTTAGCTGGTGACTGAGCCCCCTCGGCTGTGACAGAGCCTGCTCAGCTGTTGACCTGACATCCCATTCATCTGGTGAGAGCCCCCTCGGCTAGAGCCCCCGCAGCTGTTGCTCTGCCAGCCCGCTTAGCTGGTGACGGGCGGCACGATCTCGCAGTGGCGGATGGCCGGCAGCGTGGGCGGCGGGATCGGCGAGTCCTCCTCGAACACAATCGTCAGTCGGTCGTACTCGTGCACCCGCCGGCATCGCTTCACCTGGCGGCACAGCGCACACTCACTCACTCCGAGTTATGAGCCGCACACTCGGTCACTCCGAGTTGAGCAGCACGCTCACTCACTCCGAAATGTGAGCCGCACACTCACTCACTTCGAGTTGTGAGCCGCAAACTCACCCTGAGTGTGCAGATTGCACCGCTTCACTCGGCGGCACAGCGCACACACCCTCAATACGAGTTATGAGTCGCACACGCACTCACCCACTCCGAGTTGATCCTCATGTTTACTCACTCTGAGTTGAGTAGCACACGCACTCACTCCGAGTTGCGAGTCGCACACTCACTCACTTCGAGTTGAGCCGCACACTCACTCACTCACTCATTCACTCAGAGAAGAGCCGCACACTCGCTCTGGGCTGTAGTGCGCACCCTGAACTGAGTCGCACAATCACTCCCAGTTGAGCCGCACTCACTCACTTTCAGATGAGCCGCACACTCTATCACTCAAAGTTGAGCCACACACTCTAGTGAGGGTCGTAACACACATTCAATTTGGAAATTGAGCAACTCTATGATCAAGAGTTGTACATCCAAAACGAGCGTTTCATAGATTTGGGAGATCGAATATGGCCCAGCTGGCGAATACACAAAATACCAACATAGTTTGACATACGTGCTTTTGAATCGTTCTATTGTGAAGAACTTTGGTAACACTGGCCACGACCAGAAGCTTTATACATGCGTAGGTCAGGTCAGTGTTGTTTTTTCAAGTATCTATAATTTGAAGATGATCTTTTACTTGCGCTCGTGCTATTGAGGTATCTTTGAAGGGTTTCGTCACAAAGACTAGAGGGAAAAGCGTAATTACTTTACGATCCATGAGACCGTAACAAAAACACTTCACAGACTTATCATTTCGACTCATTTTGTTACACCGTGATATCTGGTGACAGAACCAATAGAAGCGATAGAGCCAGTCTAAAATTAGCGAAAACCCCACACCACAAAAAGATTATGCAACTATTATAAGCCGACAACCGTACGAACCATGCTAGTTACCTGTTATAACATACCTACTAAACTTACCAGCAGGTAAGGAACTGAGTCCGTAGCGCAGGCCATACTGGTTTCCCAGCCAACTAACCACGTCCGCGTTGTTCGCTTATGGGTCTATTATTGGTGTTGTGAGACATCCTTCCAAATACGGACACCTTCCAAGGTCGTTGATAAATCATCGCAATAATTACAAGCACTCAAAGTATGTACAGAACAAATATCATGCTCACATTTATTGTCACATCAAAAGCAGCGTACGAAAGGCAATACATCGAAACCTTTCCGGGAGGTGAAATGTCATTGAATCAAGGGTATTTAAATAACATCTAATGCATTTACCTTCATGATGTTCTGCGAGGTAAAACGGGCGCAGCGACAGCAAACGTTCACCGAAAGAATGCTGACAAGGGACACAGTTCGGACCGACGGTTCGTCAAATCGACACACAGTGCCGACTGCTGACAGCGGTCCCGCAGGGGTGGACCGGCCACCCGGGGGTCTATACTCATGGAGCCAGCATCTGCCCATCCACCCACCAGGGGTCAAAGGCTGACATCTGCTACTGAAAAACAATATCACTCCAATCGTGACTTGCGTGGGCAGAGTTCTCCACATCGCATGAAAAAATGTATGACTTTTCCGTAAAAAAACTCTTCTCCTGAGAGGTTGAAACTACAGTTCGGCTGCAGTAAAAGTCGCATAAATCTATAAGCATCTGAAACTTATAAGCTGGGTATACTCTAAAAACTGAAACTGTGAGAGTGTCGCCACCAGCCAGCGGTTTTCATCACTCCCCATTACGGAGGGAGGACAGCAAGGCTAAGCTCTGCAGCGGCGCCGTGACCGCCAACCCGTCAGACACCAAGTCATCGCAGCGTCTGGGCGTCTCTTCTCTCGGCGCCCATCCGTCGCCTACTCGCAATATGAGCGGCTGGTCGTCCTAGCGAGTCCGCGGCTGTGCGTCCGAGGTCGTCCAGCCGTCCGTGGTTGTCCGTCCGTCCAGTGCGGGTGCCGCCGAGTCCTGTTCCTCTGCCCCCCGTGGGCCGTGGTCGGTCTGTGCGCGGCGCGGCCGGCCGGCGGCGCGCCTCGGTCGCTGTCAGTGCACCTGGTGCGGCAGCCGCAGCCGCGCGCGCTGTCGCCGGATGTAGGCGGCGCGCTGACGCCTCTCGGCGCGCCGCTTTCGGCACTGTTTGGGCGCCACCACGGGCCGCGCCAGCGCAAACGGCTGTCGGAGCGACAGAATGGCCGTGAGTGGCACGTGCCGGAGCTGGGCGGGCCGACGGCGCGGCCCGGCCCGCCGCCAGGTCACCGGCGGGCGACACACCAACAGGAGAGACACTGACCGCCCCGGCATGCAGCGAGGCGTCACACCAGCGCACCATAGCACACACACATCATACACATTATGTATAGCGGCATTATGTTCAATCACAGTTTAAAACAGCGCACATTGACATTACCACATCAAGGAAATGATTGATGTGTAGTAAAAAGCACATTTAATGATTATTCCACAAGCCTAAGTATTTCAGAATTCCTAGAAATTGATTATAAAAAGACGACTATAGCGTGGCGAAACACTGTCGGCTCCGCGTCATTGGCCGATAAAAGTGATATGTGCGATTGGTGGGCACTGGGCAGTGTTGTGCTAGGAGTGCTCATGCGGAGTGCATCCGTATAAATGTACACAACTAGATACATCCTGATGAGACGCATTTAGTTACCAGTAGCCTGTTTATGTGACCCTCGTGGCGAGACGACATAAGTACGAGGAACATATTGCCAGCTATTCGGGCGCAAAGAAACATGAGTTAAAGTGCTCAAAATAAAGCAATAATTGCATAAAGGTCCGAAGTACGGTCCCGAAGGTTTCCTATCAAAGTTCGCGACGGGCGCACAGACGTCCTGAAAAAAAAAACTTTTTCCTCCAATTAAATTAAGAGTGAGTCTGATACTCAGAAGCATAATGAAGGATCAACGTAAAGAGGCAGCTCATTAAAAAGACGAATGACTGAATTTAATTGGTCTCAACTACATATGAGTTAAACTAGAAAAAAAGCTCACGATATACTCATTAAAACCTTTGGTCATCATGATAGTACTGAGTCGCTAACGTAACCAAACTGAATCGCGCCACGTGAAATTCGGCTGTCGGTAAACAAGAATCTTGTCGCGAAAATGAGCAAAAAGAAAAAGAAAAGAAAGAGTCTAATTTTCAAACCCACACACTCCACCACAATTATTTTAGTGACTTGCATACAACTCGTGTGCAACTTGCGATATTTTCAGGATATCTGAAAGATTTGCTCGCCACAGCCCCCTGAATCCTGACTCGACACTTTTTCTTTCTTTGTTCCACTTTGTCACGTTAAAGTGCTGCCTTTTCAAAGGTCAAGAAAGATTCAAGGAAGACAGGAACAACTGAAGTGTTACAGGGCGTTAAAAAATCAGATAAGTCCAAAAAACACAAAAGTGAGAATTTTGAAGCATTTACCGACAAGAATCAAAATCATTTTAGCAGCAAAAATCACTTAAACTCAAAGCAAAGCAAACAACAAAGCTCAACCAGTAGATCGTCACTGTTTCATTTACACTGGGCAGCCGAGGGTGATTCGAACTGCTCACTTTTTGTGATTGATAGCTTTTTGATTGTAGCAAATTCCTTGACTAAGTCTTGCTAAAAAGCATGAAGCAAAAGCCAAATGTTAAGCGGAAATCCACACGGAAGGTCCACACTGACTGAGCGTCGTGGCTTCGTTGGCCACGCTCAGTAACTCCAGTGTCGATCCAAGCACCGATCAAGTGGATCGTTACTTATCCGGTGCGCATCTTATCAAGCGGCGTGAATAAAATTTGGCGGCACTGACCAAAGTAATTAACGCCGGTTTCATTACCAGACGTTACCGGAACGACTTAGATATCAAAGCACACCACTTGATAAGACAGCACCCCAGGTGAGCGGCCAATCACCCCCCCCCCCCACTCCGCAGAAGCATCCCTGCACTGTGCGCGTGGTAGGCACCCCACGCCCCGCCCCACGCCGCCCTCCGCCTGCCACTGACCCTTTTTCCGAGGATGGCGCTCGACTCGTCCGAGGATCCGCTGGTCGGGTCGCGTTCCTCCAGGTTCAGCACGGACGGCGCGCCGACTGTCTGTAGGTCCTGGTACAGCTGACTGAGCTGCTCCGTCAGGGTCTGCGGAGGGGGGGGGGGGGGCGTTTATAAGATGACACTGGTGACTGACAGGCTGTGTCTCATGGGTAACTACACCAAACCGTGCCGGACGACTCCCAGCCGCGCTCACAGCCCGCTGAGTCATCTGAATCAGAACGAGCCGGTCCTGCTCGAGAACTCACCGCGGGCTGAGTCATCTGAGTCAGGGCGAGTCTGTCCTGCTCGAGCACCTCCTGAAGGTTGCGCGGCTCCAGCTGGTACTGTTTGGTGAGCTCGCAGGTCTGACTGACGGCCACCAGCCACGGCGGGTCCTGTGTACAAACACACAGACACAGTGTTACTGGTGACAGGTCTGACTGACGGCCACCAGCCACGGCGGGTCCTGTGTACAAACACACAGACACAGTGTTACTGGTGACAGGTCTGACTGACGGCCACCAGCCACGGCGGGTCCTGTGTACGTACAAACAGACACACAGACACAGTGTTACTGGTGACAGGTCTGACTGGCGGCCACCAGCCACGGCGGGTCCTGTGTACAAACACACAGACACAGTGTTACAGATGACAGGCTCTGACTGACGGCCAAACTACCACGATGGGTGATGCACGCTAAAGAGGATGGCTCCCCTCTAAAACAAAAAGTGTAAGACAACGTAAACACAATCCCGAAATACCGTTTCACAATGCTTTCAGCTGTGTAAGTACACATGTTTTGTGAACGCTACCGATCCTGCGCCCCAGCTGACCTGACTGCCACTCGCCAGGGGTAGCGGCGAGCGCACAGAGGACCAACCTACCATGAGAACCGGCTTTTGTTTGGGTTCCTCCATCTGCGAGGACGACGGCCCGTAGCCCGCTGGCTGGTCCTCGTCACGGACAGCGGCGGCGTGACGCGGGTTGTAACTCTGTGAAAGAAACGGTAATATGCGTTAGGTCACGTTACGGTGATATCCGTCACGTGAGTCTACCACGCTTCACGCACTCCACAGATCGATTATGCGTGATTCTGGAATAATTTCATTCGATCCAATCAACAATTACAATGAAACTGAGGTTCATTTATGTCACGCGAAGTGTACAACGGCTGAGAATATCCAACAATTCTTTCAATAGGCACATTCTCTATTACGTGTAACATATCGCCACCAGCATGTGTAGAAAATAATTTGACGGCAAGTACTTAACATATAAAATGTTGCTTCTCAGCAGTGAAATTCGTTCCCTGCCAAAGGCAATCTGGAGCCTCTTCTAGGGAGCCAGATACTTCACATAGAGCGCAGCACTACATATCACCCAAAACTGCAGCAGAATGCAGACTTATTTGTAATTTGAGGAATAGGGCGCTGACAGTCCAGATCATTTTGCGCCCATCATGCGGCAGTGCGTAAACTCACCGGCCAGCCGAAGTTGGATCCGTCCCCGACACCATCCACATCCCTCAGAGCCGAGGACAGACTGCAGGGAGGGAAGGGGACGCGGTCAGACATCGCACCGAGGTACACGGTAGTAGGTGTAAGGGACAATGTACGGAAAGTTACACACGACAGGATATTCAACAGTCAATACATTATTAAGGCACAGCGTGATTATGGCTGGGCATTAAGAATGAACAGAGCGCATTCGCACACCCAACGGCAAGTTCAAAGACAAGAAATATAAGCTCCAGCGGGAGAGGCGCACCAGATCTGGTTATCGAAATGATTCTGAGGTCGCCGACGCTAGCACTGACCTGGAGTCGCTGAACGTGAGGTCACTGCCGCGCTTCTCTTTCGATAGATCCTCGTCGCTGTCCAGGTTCATCTTACGGAGACTCTGTAACAGCGGGGCAGGCCGGGTCAGCGGCCATGACAACGGGGAAGGGTCAGGTCAGTGGTTGTTTCACTAGGAGTCGTCAGGGCACGTGTTACTGAGATTATGGGTTGTTTAACGTTACAGCGTTAGACGTATTCAGAAGTCGGCAGCAGGGGCAACGAGGAACGTCTAGTCGAGGGAGACACTAGAAAACGTCAGAATATTCATTAAAATAGACTCAAATCACCGATTTGCGGTTCAGTTCGCACGGCGCGTCCTACCTCAGACGTGGTGGTGGTGCAGTCTCCGCTCTGCTCTCCCGACGACAGACCTCCCCGCGCCGACACCGACAGGGACAGCGACACGGGACGCTTCCGGGAGGCGGCGGCGGCGGCGGCGGCGGCGGCCGGGGGAGGAGCGGTGGAAAAGGCTGCCATCAGGCCGCCCATCAGCTGAGGCGGCTGGCACAGCGGGCCCAGCAGAACTGCAGTACAAAAACATCGAATTCAGAGACACTGTAATTATAGATAAGGAAAGAATTGTCAAAGAGGTGCAGTAGCATACAGACACAGTAAAAGCCCAGTGCCCAGTCACTAACAGTCGAGACCAGTAACACTGCAGAATATACTCACAATTATATATATAAAGCCCTGTCTGAGACTCATTCACACAGCAGAATCATTACACTACAGCAGACTGACCGACAGCCATGCCCTGTCAACCCTGGACAATACTCCACCACCCCTGGATCAGCCCGTACCGCAATCCCACTACCCCTGAGTCACCCCGCACTGCATCCCGCCACCCCGACTTGGCCACCAATCATTACACCTACTCACCCCTGGATCCCCCTCACTCCCTCACCGTGATGCGGCTGGGGCGGCACGGGCGGCGGCTCCACCGGCTGAAACACGGCCACGCCGTGCGGCCGGAGCGCGCCAGCCGGTCCGGCGGCGCCCACCCACTGGCTTACACCGGCTGCTCCGACTCTGTGGGTGGGGAGTATAGAGACATGGTCAGACGGCAAACACCCACTGGCTCACACCGGCCGCTCCGACACTGTGGGAGGATACAGAGATACGATCAGACGGCGCCCACCCACTGGCTCACACCGGCCGCTCCGACTCTGTGGGTGGAGAGCAGATATATAGACACGGTCACACGGCGCCCACCCACTGGTTTAGGTACACCGGCCGCTCCGACTCTGAGGGTGGGGGAGACATTGAGACATGGTCAGACGGCTAGGTGCGCCGCCGAGAGGGGCAAACGGCGGGGCTGCGTCATCTAAAACGGCCATTAACTACTGATCACGTATCAGGGGTGAACACTGAACATATTCAGACAAATTTCTGGGGCAATGAGACCATGGAAACATCGTATATGAAAGCGGATGCGGAGCTGCACACTTAAATTATGTAGCCCATCCGAGTAGTAGGTAATAGTCGAAAACAACAAAACAATGTTGTTTTCGACTAGAACAATCAGTTGTTTAGACGTGGGTTGGCCTTGGGTGGCTGCTTTCTTCTTTTATCATCGACAGAGTGTTTCACACGGATAACAAAATTTGGCCTAATGGACCTCTCTCTTTTTCAGTAGTCAGCCTCGAACACCACCCCGCACCCATGAGTTGCTTGTCGTGCCAAACCCCACAGGTGACCATATCGCACGTACCCAGCCAGCGCTCCGGGTCCGGTCAGGCAGGCGGAGAACGGCGGCCAGAACACACTGGGCGCCGGCCAGCCGGCCGTGTTGAGCATCGCGTGCCGACGCTCCTGTTCGAACTCGTCCAGGCCCTGGCGGAGCACGGAAGGAGCACAGGGGTTACTCACGTGTACTAACAGGGCTGCTGGGGAAGGGCGCAGCACGGGAGGAGCACAGGGGTTACTCGGGTGTACTAACTGGGCTGTCGGAGCAGGCCAGAGCACGGGAGGAACACAGGGGTTACTCAGGTGAAATAACAGGGCTGCTGGGCAGGGCGGAGCACGTCGGGAGGAGCACAGGGGCTACTCAGGTGAAAAAACAAGGCTGCCGGAGCAGGGCAGAGCACGGAAGGAGCACAGGATTACCAACTTGGTAGCACCGGGTGCTGCCGTTGGCTGGTACGGAACGTCTGAGTACCTAGCGTGACGCGGAGGGAGGGGAGACCAACGGCGAAACAACCAGTGGCTTATCCATTATCTACCCCAGACACTATTGATCGATGTAAAAGTTCTCGTTTCACTAAGCTGGTGCTGTGACAGCTATGAAGGTACAGTCGTAAGAATATGTTATACTATTGCGCCCATACGATCAGATTATCCCTCATTGCTGCCACAATAAATTACAAGATCCAGGGGAAACTTCGAATCATCGACACCCATTGCCAAGCCACAAAGCAAGGGCCCAGATTCAGGATAGTCAGTGATCTTACCTTCTTGGGTTCGCTGCAGCTGTTGTGTTTGATCATCTTACACTTGCTGCTGTGACAAATGTGCTTCTTCGGTCCCAGAGACTGGCGCATGTTCTTCTCCATATCAGCATTGTGTCTGACGAACAAAATATGGCGGATGTTAGTGACAAACAGGAAAATAAACAAACAAAAATCAAGTGACAGATTGATGGACAAGACGGGCAGTGGAAACAGACGCATAGAGATGAACATAGACAGACAGATAGACAAACGGCAATTCCAACGTATCACACGCGGATAGAAGCCGCCTGATTACAGACATTCCCGCAGGGCCGAGGTCAGGGTCAGAGGTCAGCTGAACAGGGCAGCTAGGATCACTGACCTGTCGAGCACGGCCTGTGTCAGCGGCTGGTGGTGATAGCTGGTGAGCGGCGGCGGCGGCGAGTGACGCGACCCACCGGTCGGTGCCGACACCCCGCTGGGGCCCGGCTGCGGCGAGTCCAGACTCGCTGAGGCCACCGCCGCTGGAGAGGGGAGGATGCTGTTAGCCAGATTTGGAAGTCGGAGACAGTCAAAAAGTCAGTCAGACATTACCCAAGAATGGAAACAATAGCAAACAAACAGTCGCCAAGACTGAGAACAGTCGGAAACGTAGACGCGGTTGTCGAGACTGGCAGGGTATAAGGATATACAAGGCATAGACAGTTGCCGAGACTGGAGACAGTCAGACAGTTGTCACCAAAACAGACAAGCTAAGAAAGACGCAGTCAGAAGGTCAGCTGTAGAGCCTGGTCGCATCATATATCGGACGAGGGGCAGGCGAAAGTCTACCGGCGCTGGCCGGGCAGTGGGCAGAGAGCACTTACCGGTGCGTCTACCTGAAGACGGGCCAGCCACGCCGATGCTGTCATTTCTCGAGTCAGACTCGTCCGAGGAGCCAATCGCTGTTTTCGGATGAGATTCGAAAAATCTGAGGGAGAGACGAGATGGTGTTTGAAACAGGAGGGCTGTTCACGACGTCGGTTTATCCCGTTTAATAAACCGTAAACATGTTTATTTTTTGAAGGACCAATCAGCGTCGACCCGATCCTGACGTCACAGCTCGTCAATGACGTCAGACCTCCGCCGTAAACCGTTTATGCGGTTGATGCCTCAGAGCATCAACATGGCGCGTAAACGCGTTTATGTGACAATGATGGCGATGTGCGGCAAACTCGTGAGGCGAGTTGTGCGTAAGGAAAATTAAATTCGGACAGTTCAGGGGCTGGTAGGTGGGTAAATGAGTTTCAAAATAACTCTGTACGGGTTGCAGAGGACTGGAATGGTAGGTTTTATTATTTCATTGTAATTAAGACCTATTTTGAGCATCGTTCTCTGCTAACCAGCGTCTAGCGTCATGGGTATTTTGTGATGAAAACTGTCCTTATTCTTGCAATATGTCATGATAATGGACATATTTCCATCAGATTATCTTTTCTTTGCACCTTTTACAGTATCGTCTCAACTGCTTATTAGTTGTCACTGTTTAAGTAAACACTTGTGTTTCGTAAACGTAAACGCCGTGTGACGTCACAGCCGGGATCGTGCCGCGAGGGCAGTTTATGTAAACCACATAAACCGACGTCGTGAACAGCCCTAGGGTTATCGCGCAAAGCGTTGCGGGTCCCTTACAAGAGCGAAAACGTGTCGCCCCCGGGTGGGCTCGAACCACCAACCTTTCGGTTAACAGCCGAACGCGCTAACCAATTGCGCCACGGAGGCAACTGGGCAGTCAGCGTGTAGAAGACCAGGCGAACTTTATGGCCCCTGCGGCGTGCCTCTGACTCCTCCAGAAGTTACTCGAATTTCAACCTCTTTACATAACCCAGGACAAAATAACCAGCTTTGCCATTAGCGTTAATTTCCCTCAGCGCACCAAACCCCGCCCTAATCCTGCGACCTGTCTCACCCACCTGTTGATGGTCTCCTTGTAGTTGAGCTGGACGTAGTTGGGCACGCTGACTGAGATGGGTGCAGGCGAGCCGCGCTCGGACGTGTGCGGCGACACGTCACCGGGCACGGACGTGTGGTCCTGTCGGCAGACACGCAGTCTCTTTCAGGGGCGCCGAAACGAGCATAGGCCAGCCACCGCACAATGCACAGAACGTCGCCAAACTACGATACAAACGCATCACCACCTCCCAACCTATTACAGCAGCCTTTAACCGTCAGATGCAGGCTAGTCAACAGTTGACGGCAGCAGGCAACTAAAAATCGCAACTGACATTAGTTAACCTTTTATATTTTTTTTTTATTTATTTCAAAAGATCGCCGACGGGATAACCCATTGAGTGACGAAGTCAATATTTAAAACAGTTATAAAAGAACACATTTGACATTTACAAGACATAAAATGAGATGACAATGCATGAAATACATAAAAAATAAAAAATAAAAATAAAAATAAAAATAAATAAAAATAAAAATAAAAACATGAACAAATTAAAAATAAACTAGCAATACATACAGCGCCAGTTACTAAAGTGAGGCAGCGTATTGTTTCACCTTACTGCGAAATACGTAGCAGCTGTCATTGAACATATCTGCGGTGGGGACGCTTGCAAAGAAGCTGTTCATCTGCCTGGGCAGTCTCATGAACAGTCCATTCTTTACAGCGTTCACCCTTGCAAACGGGACATTCAATAATGTGCACATCTGCTGTCTGGTTGTGCGGCAAGACACACTCAGAGAAAAGGACTGCAGAAGTAGTGTGGACGATATTCTACCCCTGTACACATTCCGGATGAACATGATATCATGTTGTGATCTTCTCGCAGATACAGATGTCAGCTTGAAATGTTTAAGTAAGTCCACGTAAGACAAAGAGGGAGATTTGACGCGGCAGTGTGCGTTGAGCCACATCAAAAACTTGTGCTCGATCCGCATGACCCTATCTGTGTGCGCAGCAGCGGCTCCGTTCCAAATCACACTGCAGTACTCTAGGGTTGAGCGCACATACGCATAGTACGATGCGAGAGCCGACGGAACATTGAGACTTCCTCCCGGGTTAGCTCTCTGATATGACCTTATCAGGACGCCTAGTACTTAAGTGTTACGACTATAGTACTTAAGTGTTACCAAACGCCCCCCGGCCTTGATTGCAGCCGGTGGCTGGCCGGCGGGAGGTGTGACGTCACATCATCTGTGGCATATGATTGGCCGGCGGCGGGTGTGACGCCATAGCCCGTTGATAGCGGGGCTCACGCGTAAATTCCAAAGATCTACCTACCAGAACGTTCTCTACGTTTCTGGCGATCTATTCAAGAGATATGCAATACTATGCAACATGGAAATAGGACATAGAATAAGTGGTTTCTGAGCTATTTATCGACTTCTGTGTTAGAAATAAACGTCGCGACATGATATCGGAGCCATGACCGCCTGTAATCGATAAAATTTATATCCTTTCCCTCACAGACTGGGAACGCTGAATGGAAGAACCGCCTACGCCGAACGATTTTAATATTAGCAACAACACCAACAAGTGAGCACACTGAAACACAGCCGTTACAAACCTTCCAGCCAGAGCCGTCTGACGCGCAGTCTCCCCTCCTGGTGCACTATAACTCTTTTCTTTCCCGGCCCATCCCGTACCTCAAGCAGCCGTCTGCTCTCTTCCCCCCCCCCCACATGATCGGGTGTGGCCGGCTGGTCGGCTGTCTCCTCCCCGCTCCTTCTTTCTCCCTCCTTTACCTGATCAGGTGTATCCGGCTCATCGACCGTTTCCTCCTTTCTGTCTCAGTCAGCTCTCTACCCTCCCTCACCTGGTCTGGCGTAGCCGGCTGATCCACCGTTTCCTCCAGGTCGCTGATGAGACTCTCCATCAGGGCCACCAGTCGGCGGCGGCGCTGCGTTAGGTACGACGCCTTGCTGTCGGCCGCCGGCAGCGCCTGTCGTGAGGAGAAAGAAATGCCAGTCACTAAACGATCGCAAGCCATAAGCCGGTAACCAGACACAAAACGGACAACAGTTGCAGAACGGACAACCGTTACAACATGAGAAACCTTTGCAAAACGCAAAGTTTACGTTATGACCCTCACATAACGTATCAGTCACAAACGGACACGCCATAAAACGGACAACGGTAAAAAAAGCGACTAGTCACGAACGGACAACCGCCACAAATCAACATCTCACAGGTCCCATCATCAAGCGGACGTATGATGATACAGACCGTGAAAAAAAAACTGAGCGCCCTTGTCAAGAGACGATATTAAACAACAGGGGAGATACAAAACAAACGCTTCTCGATTCGGCCGTAACCAAAATAACTATTGTGACGTGACAGCGATGGGTACATAAATACCCTGAGCCAGCGCAGACTGCCCTTGATCCATTGAGCAGCGCCCGTGGCCATGCACAAAATTACCTTGGAGAGAATGTTCTCGATATCAACCCGGTGACTGTTTCGGAGCATCAGCTTGTCGGCACAGTCGGCTCCATCCTCCTCATCTTCGTCAAAGATGTTGAGGTTGCTCGGCGCCTGAGGAAGGGGCAGGACATGCTGAAGGCATCAGAGGAACCGTAACATGTCATAAGGGAATCAGCTCCCACAGCGGAAAATTCAGTGGAAAAGTTCACCGGTAAAGTTGATCGACAAACTTCGTCCGCCGCCCCCGCTTTCAGTCAAATACGACGAAGAAACATTATTTAATGGCGTAACTGCCGGTTTCCGACCTCACAGCACTACCTCCCACCTACCTTGATGACTCTGTGTTTGCAGATGACTGCCTCGATGCGGTTGGACCACGGGTTGACGAAGCAGCTCCAGTCGGTTTCCATTCCGACGTAGCAGCCGTTATGGGCCCGCAGGCGGTACGGGCGACTACGGAACGGCGTGCCCGTACGCTGGGTCACTGCCGGAGGGAGGGGAGAGGTCAGATGGGAGGGTGTAACATTGTCATGGGTCACTGAGGGGAGATGGGAGGGGTCAGGTTAAGGCGAACCATTCACTTGTGTCACTAGAGGAAGACGAGGTTAGCTAAGGCAAGGCGGTAAAAACTACCAGGAGATCTGATTCGAGGGAGCAAAAGTTTAGAAAGAGCGTTCGGTAACTGCGGAGGTAACTCCAAAAATAAAACGGACGGCAATTATACCTCTGAAAACCATAAGTTACCTAACCACCTAACTCATGCCAGCCGTTCCAGCTCACACGCCAGAGCGACCAATGAACACTGGCCTGCGAATACTGCAGTACAGTCAGCGAGTCGAGAACAGTTACTCTACCTAATACAGTGTCAGTCCGATGTCCGTCCGACCCTCACCTTTCCTGTAGACGTCTTTGATGGCGGGCAGGTCCTCCGGATGGAAGAGATCGACCATGCTACGCCCAACCACGTCTTGCGGTAGGAAGCCTAGGAGCGTGATACCCTGAGAGTCGTACTGGTCGACGCGGCACTGGGCCGTGTGGCGCATCGAAAAGTGCAGGTTACGGAAACCCGGGTGGACGCCCTCTGGAAGTGAAGAGAGTGGGGGCTAGCGGTTAGATGGATCACCATGGGAGCGAGCCAGTCAAGGGACATACACGATTTCCAATTTCGAATTTCCTTTGCAGCTCGCATCTGTTTCAATGTGCTGTCAACTTAGTACACCGAACAGAAAAAGTAGGTAAAATAGAATTAGCTGGAATAACACTGCATAGAAGCAGTAGCGGTGGTTGTACTGCCGGATGCGACACTGACCTGGCGTGGACTTGTAGGCCGGCTGGAGCACGTCAGCCACCACCAGGATGCACGGACCCTCGCCGCTGAGCTGGTCCAGCTTCAGGTCGTGGAACAGGATCCGCAGCTGCGCGCGCAGACACAAACACCGGGCAGGGTCAGCACAGGGAGAGGCCAGCCCAGACGCTACGTATTGGACTCACTAGCAGCTGCGCAGATATACATTGGGACCGTCCGAAGTCCGAAATGAATGTCAACGGCATTCAGCTGCTCATGGCTCTCCAAATGAAACACATTAAACCAGAATATACACTTGACTAGAAGCATTAAACCACACCCACTAACGATTGAGCGCTGCTTGCAGTGCCCTCGCACCCAGCATCGCTTCAGCTCCAGAAGACACAATTTTGACACTATCATTTACTTTTTTCAGCAAACGTAAAAAAGACACCTAGAACGGTGGGTAACTGTCATCGTGACTCGTGAGACCGCCGGTAGGGATACCTGGACCATGACCCACCTGGAACGGTCAGTAAATGTGACCGTGACCCGCGACCCGTGATCCGTGTTCCGTGACCCACCTGAAAGGGCCGGTAGATGTGCGAGTGGCTGACCACATTGAACCCGACCGACTTGAGTCCTCGGTGGTGGCGCAGCCGGCAGAACAGCTGACTGGAGCTAGTGGAACCGTCTGTCGACACACAGTCCAGCGGTCAACAGGGAGTGGCCGCGGCTCGGCATTCCTCAGTCACGTTTACCCCGCACGTGCCAGGGCCTCTGGCGTCGGTCGGTTCATGAAGGGTACAGTTGTGTCACCATGGGACCATCCTCACGAGGTCGCAGTCTGAACAGCGGCGACTGTTGACATTACATGACGTCATGACCAGAGCCGGAAAATCTGTTGATATAACCCCACAGCAGCGCACATATCTCATGTGTTCTGCAAAGGCGAGTGCAGGGTGTGTACTAGGAAATGGGCTCGTTGGGACCTCTCTGGCCTAATAAACAGGTCCTCCTGCACTGAACATAGCACGAAGACTGGCGGTAGCTCATCCATCCACACGGGGTAGCCGTACCATTAAGTGTTGATACGGGGAAGCGGTACTACGGGAAGCATTGCCGTCATGGAGGAGCCGTATCGAATATGAAGGCACTGTACCACAGAACAGAAAAGCGATGCTACTGACCAGCAGTGCCTACCCCTGATGATAGTACCAGGTCCTGGTCGTAGCGTTACAGTGTGTAATGCTAACCAGAAAGGGTAGTCATCACCCCCTCAGCTGCACACCCACAACACTCTACCAGCGGTGGCGCCCACCTTTGTTGCTGATGAGGCCATCCACGTCGACTCCCATGTCGTTAATGGTATTGGTGAAGGAGGCACGGTCCCGCGGGTAGATGTAGTCGATGAAGCTGCGACCCACCCACATGTCTGGCGGGTAGCCCAGCAGCTCGGCCATGCTGCCGGAGGTGCGCACCACAGTGCCCTTGCGCAGGCTGACCAGCACCTCCAGACGCTGCGGGCGGGCGGGGGGGGGGGGGGGGTCAACAGCGCTGAAACGAGCAGCTGTAATTTAACCCTCGCATGTGTAGGGGGGGGGGTCGGATGGACCCCCCCCCCCATGGTTTTTCGCAAATAACTCGCGTAAAAAGCGGCCGATCGCGACGAAACTTTCAGTACCCTCGCATTGATCAATTTTACACCTACCCTGAAAATTTCATGACCCTGACCCAGATGACCTTTGACCTGTGACCTCTTTTCCGAGACCATGTTTGGCCGGAATCGCGATTTCGCGTATGTCGGCTCGCACTAGCCGCGTGTTTGCAAGCTTTTCGTGGTTTCAAACGTTCAAACATGTGATTCGATGTTACTCCCGTGTGTGTCAAGGTCACCTGAAGGTCAGGTCAGGTCATTGACCTTTGGTGACCTCGGGTGACCTCGGGTCACTTTTTCGAGTTTTACATGTTTCTAGGCTAGTTTTTGGAGCTGAATTCGAATTTAGCAACCATTTGAACATTTACGAAGTAGTTTTGGTGACTTCGTAACATGTTACGAAGCTGTCAGAGGCGGTTGACACGTACTACGAATACCCGTCACGACGCCTACTGGTTGACCTGACCTGACCTGACCCGACCTGGTCTAAATGCTTCAAGACATCATCTGTGATCAAAACTAACATGATATTCGTGATCAACACCCCGAAAAACCCCTTAGCAGCCACACTTTACGACTTTCTAACAGGTCCCGATTTTCCCGACTTTGGGTCATTGACCTGACCTGGAAGGTCAACCAATGACCTAGGACCTTAAAATTGGGTATCATCGGCTTCCTCTCGTCACGGGCAACACGCTCGTTTTTTCCGCGAAGCTCTAGCTCGATCAGGGGCCAAACGGCAAGGGGGGGGTCCAACCGACCCCCCCCCCCCTACACATTAGAAGCTGGCAAACGCCGCACACATGCGAGGGTTAATTTCTTATGGGCCGTTTTGTTTCGAACATGAATTTTTAGCGTAAAAATGCATGATTGTAGCGCTTTCTCGGTCATTATTGAGATCTAAAAGCGTTAGAAAATACCAATTACACTTCTAATAACTATATCATACAATATCCTAGACCATTATGCCTACAAAACGTATCCAGGTAGGCAAATTAAAAATCATGACCCTGTCAGAATGCGCTCACCGCTGGCGGTTCGCTGTCCTCGGCCGACGCTCCGGCGCTGTCCTCCTTCTCCGCAGAGGAGGCCGGTACCGAGGAGCTCACCTCGCCCACACGCGCTGCACATAGACACAAAAAGAATAAACTTTTGTTAAAAAAAAAAACAAATAGAGGCGAAGCTTGGTTGCAGGAAGTCCATTTCTAACTAGCATTGGCGTTCGCTAAAAATGTTGACGGCCGACAACTTGGGGCTGTAACTAGAGCGGTCCGATGTCCGATGGAAATATAATAAATCAATAATAGTATCATTATCAATACTGATCAAAAGTTCAGGATTACATAAAACATGTCTTCAGCTTCACATTATCATCGTATTGCAGTGCCGTCACGTCACGCACCTTTTTCCCACTCCAGGATTTTCCGCACGTAGGACATGACATGTTGGTAGGCTCCCTTCTGCAGCGCCGCCTGGCAACAGACATTGCAGACGAGGTCATCGGTCTACCCCGTTCCGGATATAGGTCAACAGACACTACCGACCGCCCAGGGAAACGTACCTCAGCTCGTGAGAGTGAGATCACGTCGGTAAACATTGGAGCAGACACTTCAGACTCTGAATGGGAACATTAAATCGACCGAAAACATTTACCACATGACAACAAGAAGGGAGTTATCAAATATGGTTTTAAATGCATTAATAGACTGAATGTACCGAGCAGGATGTTTAATGCTTACATTAACGAACAGACGGTAATTTATGGAAATTGGTGCAGATTACATTCAACATATGGAGGTGCTAAGTGCATCGTTGCCTCCCTGGTCTCCTTTTAGATACGTTATATGTAGCAACACTGGCGCTTCCAAGCCTATGCTAACTGCATTATAATTGTGTTCACAAAACTCCGGCAAGTTTGAAGTCACAACAAGCGCTCACCAATCACCCAACACTTGCTCGCGAAGCGGCCGTCCAGACACGCTCTTCGCCAGCTCACCTGGAAAGAGTCTTCAACGCTCTTATCCTCTGAGGGCGTGAGGCCCGAGTCGGCGGCCGCTCCGCTCAGCTGCCTGGCCGCCTTGGTGCCCGCGGGCGCCGGGTGGCCGGTCGGGGCGCTGGGAGCCGCGCCCGGGGCCAGCGCCAGCCGGCCGCTGCTGCAGGACGGACAGACACAGGAGCGGCGTCAGACCGACGCCGGGATAACGGGGGACGGGTTGAAAACAGAAATGAATGGAATTGTATACCTACGCGTATACAGGACCATCTACACATCCCGTGCAGGAAAAATCATAACCGGGTGTCCCCTGCCGGGGTCCAAACCATCCCGGTATAAATTTGAAGAAAAGCAGTGATTTAATGACGCCAATAATACATTCACAATGTCTTGGACTCTTGGTTGACCTGTGTCGGCAATGGATGCGTGACACTGCGCATGGGAATACAGCTCGCACGTGATAAAACGGCTAAGCAAACAGTTTTTGAACTCGAAGCGCTGTGTCCAGGTTCGAAATTCACAAAATCATGTGTCTTTAGGTATATCGGCATTCCTTAGGCTTCATATAGCTTCGCTAGTATAATAAATATCTGGCACGAGCAATTAATGTAATTACCAATATCCGACAAACACGTTACGTGCACGTTTTCTTGGCACCCGTGTAAGTCTAGCATTGCCATGGTACCATTTTCACGAGCTCCAGAATTTTCCATCGAAAATGGAGCGCTGTAATAAACGGCCTCAACGAACCTGACAGCTTAGTGTGTTACGTAAGAGGTGAACTGACGAGCTTGGTATCCTGTCGGCTGTCGGGATACCAAGTTCTATATTAGTTCTGTATGAATGACGCAATTCGCCGTACGAACGGATATAACATTAACACTCTACGGTTAACTGGAACTTTACCAGGGTAGAATATCACCTATACAGCCTTTGTACATTGATATGCTTAACATTAACTGTAACATTATGCGACGCAGAGGCGTAGATATTAATCTCATCGACTGAAATTCGAGTGGCCAGGAGCGAGCAGCCCGGGAGTAGCAATTACACATAATCATTGGCAATGCCTACGTAAAGAAATATTTTTATTATCTAATAAATTCTATTAAAACTTCAGTGGGTAGGATTCCGAGATGATAAACTACCTTACGAAGAAATTCTTGAGCATCTCATCTTATCGTAAACATGATCTGTATTGCCCGAACGGGACGCGAAATTGCACCTATAACTGTGGATAACTGAGATACTTCCTAAACGTGACAGTGTGAAACAGGACGAGAAAGAAGATAATATGGCAACTGACACACAGTTTTGAGGAATCATTCTGTGCGCATGTAGGACGTACCTAGTTATCTGGGCATACATTACATACCTGGGCACATATTATATGACATAGGTATCTGGGCATACATTGTATATGGGCATACATTACATATTGCATTCCACGTATTTGTTCTTATCTATTCGTGAGCAACCATTCATCAATTGGCGTATCACTTGCAAAACCATACAGAACAAACGCTACAAATTAGGCTCATAGAATCAAGCCGCGACTGTGAAATAACTTCCAATGTTCGTACTGAGCGATCGTTTGATCAGTGAGCAGTTCAAATTAACTGGGGCACAAATGTTAAAGGTATGCGCTTGATGTTTGGCCTCACCACATGAGAAGGCAGCAATGATCTCGAAAACGGGACCTCTTCGCACCCGGTATATAGGTTCAACGAGACACTGCACGCACGTATCCTCTACCATATCATGCTCACGGAAAATATGTCACTGACATTGAAAAGCAACGTCCTTTAGGTGGATTTCGATGAGATGCGTGCATACGCAAAACGGATGACGCAAGTCGGAGGCATATCAGAATGACTTTCCATTAAAATTGCTCAACATCGATGCATTTACGTCGTGTGCGCTTATGACGTAGAAACGCAGAAGCTTCGTCTTATTTACACCAGCACGTGTCAGACGAATATGGCGTGATTCCGCCGTATCATTGAAATATGTGTATGACGAGTATACTGCGAGCATATGCCAGATGGAAAACTACCTTATCGTGTTTACTGTGTTCAGTAGCATGGTTTTTTTGTTGGGAACTTACCTGGTCTCACTGCCACTGGAGCGATGACTCTCCTCGCCAGAGAAACAGCCGCGGCTAAACGAACTGTTGGTACTGCTGTAAAACACAGATGGGGGACGACGGTGTTAAAATGGAACAGAGCACTGCTGTGAGCTGTGGGTAGGTACTACTGCAATACACAGGTAGAACGATGGTAACAGTACGTGATCTAGCCTCTATGTCCATAGATCACCGTCACCAGGCTGCATCAAATCGGAAGAGATTGCAAGCCGATGACTTATTGCAAGATTGTCACGGACACATTCGCATTAGTATGCGCTGGTACCCTGCGTTCGTCTAATCAAATCGCGTTGAATAAAAAAACTGTTGCTTTAGAAATTAAATGGTCAATGTCGGGTCAGAACTAATTACTTCATTAAAACAATGAGATTCTATGTCCTACTATCGCTCCCAACGCTTATACTGTACATTGGTGCACCTTGAATTGAAAAACAATTAGCTTTAACTGATAAAAAGTTATCGTGAAAAACGGTACCGATCACTAATGATCTTTGTGATGCGGAATGCCGTCACAAATCAATTTCGTTACTAATAAAAAATGCATCGTTAGTCAAGATCAGATCATTAGTCGATAAAGATCATTATCAATTATCATTACCATCAGGACTATGGTAGTCATAAGTGCAAATGTTTAAAGTTTGCGAAAAAACCTGGTAGCCGATTGAATGATCACCTTGCAGAATTTCGGAGAGAAGCTAGTAACTCCCAATGCCCATGTCCTAGTAACTGGTTGCCCACATGAAAACATGTGGTAAAAGGCTGAAGGCTGAAAAAAGCTTGTCGTTTAGCTTGCGTCGCTAGTTAACCCGCGCCCTGGTGGGGTCTGTTTATAACGCGACCTGGTGGGGGGAGGCTATTTTTTGCCCCCCCCCCCCCCCTCGTATCTCCGAAACTACTGGACGGATCCGCAAAATTCAAACGGCGTTCGAAAGGCTGTCGAAGGAAACCAAATTTCATTCACCTCTGGGTCACCGATGACGTCACAGGTCAGGTCAAATATAAAATGTTTCACCGTTAACGGGTCGTCTAAGGGAATGCGCTATAACACCGAGGAAAACGCATTTTGTCGAGAATCAGCGAATGCCAAGAATCAGAAGTTGCCTAGTACATATGTTGCTATTAGAGGTCACTGACAATACCAGGTCAGGTCACAGGTCAGGTCACCAAGGGTCACAGGTCAGGTCACATGAACCCAACTTTAGGTACTAAGGTTGTGCAATGCATGTTTTATGGCCAATTTTTCATTTCCAACTCAATGGTGTTGGTTATAAGACTATCAGGTACGGCTTAGGTCACTTTCTGGTGAAGGTCAGGTCAAGGTCAGGTAAAAAAAGGTCAAATTTTAAAGTTGATAGTTTTGCATAACATGGGTATTGATTCGATGCAGCTCATCACGGGGAGTCTAATGGTGGTCTTTGTTTTGCGCTACGGGGTCTAGAATTGCTAAAAATTGAGTTTGAAAATTTGACGTCATCAATTTTGAACAGTTTTTTTCGCTATAACTTCGCCAAAAAAAGAGGTATCAATCTCAAATTTGGTATGTGGATAGAAGGCCGTAAAGACTATCACATATATTCCGGTTTTTGCGAAATTCAAAAAACTTTTTGGATTTTTCGGCTATTATATTGAAAAAACCTATTTTTTTATTTTTGAGGGTTAAAATCCAAAAATTTCAAAAATCCGAGATAGCAGTTTTGTAGCCCTGTCAATTCTACAGCTTTTATGTCTATATCATTTTTCTGTATTTGCAAAGCTATAGGCCTGACAGCTCTTACCGCGAAACCCTTTTTTGGGTCGAAAACGGCAGAACATGACGTCACTCTGACGTCATTTCCGGCCAACCTATCATAGCCTTTGGAAAAAATTTTGGCCACAACGTGTAAAATTGATGTCCGGGAGGGTACTGAAAGTTTGGTGACGATCGGCGCAGCGGTTCTGGAGATATATTGAAAAGTCTGGAGGGGGGGGGGGCAAAAAATAGCCCCCCCCCCCACCAGGGCGCGGGTTAAAGCCAGTTGGCGAAAGGCGAGAGAACTACGTAAAACACAGAAGAGTTGCGAAAAAAACGTGCAAGATCGGTACCCAAAAAGGCCAGGAACAGTCAACAAATGAGCTCCGGCAGCTAGTTTTTATCGTTCGGTCTGCACTCTACAAATGATAAGTGAACCCACCAAGCGGAACATTCCCCATCAGGCATCAACATTTCCCAACGCCTGGCCCGAAATGTCATTAGCGGACCGTCCTTCCCCTATTGTCCCGCGACGCATCGTTACCTTCTCTGCGTGCCGGTGGAGGGCCCATAGCCGGAGTCGCGGTTGGACTCGGCACCCGCCTCTGAGCTATCCTTGTCGGTACTCGTGCTGGTCTGCTCCGCGCACGTTGGCGGCTTCTCCACGGCTCCTGGCGCGTCACACATCCTGAGGAGCGGCGGCCACGGGTCACGAACGTTCGGGAATTACTCATATTTACCGTGACTGACGGGTGTCACGTCACGGTACGTTGGCGGACGCCCACATGTAACGAACGTCACCGTCGGACGTGTCACTCACGTCACTGACGGCCAGGGTGACATATGACACCACTATCTGATATGTCACTCATTGACCCCACTAACAGCCGAAGTGTCACGTGTATTGGCGAGACGACGGCCACACAGGCTTCACGACATCACAATGCCCCCAAAAGAGAACTGGAACCCAGCAAATGATATCAAATGGGTTGCTGAGCAAATAATAGACTTGCGTCACAAGGTCACCATAGATAAAACATAATAGGTGGTTAAAACTGAGAGTATGGGTCATAAAAATGACATGTTATTGTTCGGCTTACAATATTCCTTTAATTTATACTTTTTGCCATGGGTTTTAAGCATACAGCTTAATTATCTTTGAAAAGCAGTTTGACAAGATTTGTGGCAACAGAAGTATTACTAAAGAGGAGAAAGCTGAACACATCTATGATCTGAGGTAATACAAATAACATAACAATGCCAAATGCAAGGTACCACTTGCTGTCATCCATTTCTTTTAAATGAGTAGATTTTCATGAAATTTTAAAAACATTTGGTCTTACTCATTAATGCCACCAGAAATTGCTGTCAGAACAATATTTGTTAGTTTGTAATAACTTCACTGTAACCTGAAGTTGCCCTAATATCCAGGTAACTTAATTGGAAACCAAAACAAACAAATATCTCTGAATGAATGCATGGAATCATGGGTTGATTGATCAATATGCACACAGTTGGTGTACCATTGTGCTTATAAAAATGCAAAGCAGGCTCAAGAGCAACAACATATGCAACTACACCAGAAACTATCTAGCTGCAGGGAACAGCTATACAATGAATTACACCTTTCTTTGACACAGAATCATTAATAGTTTGTTCTGTTCTTCAAAATGGTATAAGCATCTGTTATTTCAATTTATTTTTTCCTGAACTCTACATATTTCCTTTTTAACTGTTGCTTTTCTGAAGCAGTCAAGTGTGCAATAGGTAGGTACTTTGTGAAATCCTTTGCCATGCCTAACAACAATGTCTTTTTGTCTTCTAGTTGTGTCTTGCCTCGTCTTGTGAATGGAACACTCATCAGCAACTCATCTACCTACCTACCTTGTCCTTATCAATACCAATATTTTAGAGCTAGGCACATTTTGACAAGTTCAATGATTATTGCATGCATTGGTAGGAATCAGTCCACTATTTTCCTTCTGTATAATCATCAGCATGATTTCATCAGCGTTTTTTTTTTTTTTGCTTTTTTTGTGTCTTTTGATATCGCCTGCCAGTCTCGTTATGTTGCCTTTATTGCTTTATTGCCTTACCTGTCCTAATTTCTACACCAGCCACTTCGGAACTGGCCTCTGTGGGCCGTCTGACAACAAGCCTTGCTTAGTTGGACGGCCCTACAAAGGCTCAGTAAATGACCCTGCCTGAATTTGACCAGAGATGTTACCTACAACTATCCACTATGTATGTATGACTGTATCCCCCTCAGTTGTCTTCCTCCCACTAACATTCCCCTGTGTGAGTGAGCATCAGTGGGCGTTTCAGGGATGTAGGAGGGCAGTCACTAACTGTTTGCAGTTGTGACTACTTTGCTTCTTTTATACCATCTATTAACAGCATGCTTACTCCTCTGATATTCGCCTTCTTTTGTTTTTTTCCTTACTCTTAGCAGGGAGTGCCGCGACTTGTCATATTAAGTTTTCTGGTGTTAACGTAAGGTTCTGTGTGTCGCTGGGATAGAGGGAGGGGGCACTCCTGGTCACCTGTTGGCTGTTCATGGGTGGCGGTGTAGAAAAAAAAAATCAGCATCACCATAGTCCACAATGCTGCTTTAGTGAGATGAATGATCCATTGATCTGCCTGCCATTCAATGCACTTGGCAACTTGCAGTGACTGACAATTCAAAGCAGCAAAATAGCTGGACGCCAGTGAAAACAGGGCGCCGGAGAGCATATTGAGTCAAGTGACTATTAAGAACTTCTCCCCCTCTAAACACCTTCTACATGCTGGATGTCATGTGGTTTATGCGAGTGAATTTCAAGAGCCTTGATCAAATCGCCCCAGGGCCCAGGCGCCCTGTTTTCACCGTCATCCAGATAGCTAAGTGAAGTCCAACCTTCAAGTTACAGCTGCTTCCAATTCCTAGTTTTAAATAAACATTGGCACCTAATGTGTTGATGAAGTGATGCACTGCTCCACCATGTCAATGTTGATGAATGATGTGCAATCCATTTCGATGAAAACATCACTGAACCTGAATGCACATCAACATAATGCCTTAGTCATGGATGTAGCCCCAGCCGAAAACTTACCTGATATGGTGTAACTCGAAAATGAAAATGAAATAATCAATATGCACTACCCAGGAGCCAAAAGTGCCATTTCCAATAAATTTTAGTACTGACACTGGAACCGGAACCCCAGCTATGGAACTTGTGAGGCTTCCAACACAAAACAGCCTCAATAGTTTACTTGCATCACAGAACTAGCACAGCAGTATTCCTTCCACAAACTACTCAACCGAAAGTTTACTGCACAACCAGCAAATGCGCAACTCCAATCGCAGGTCAAGCGAAATGTACGTTTCGCAGGCGGTCACGTTGACACGGACATCAAACATGTGAATTTCTGAGGATACGTTCGTTCTAGTTTGCCAATAGTTTATTCACATTACATTTTCATTGGGAGTAGCGTTGCTGTCACAATTTAAACAAATCTTTAAAATAAACAATAAATGATATTTTTCTCCAACATCCTTTGAACTTTGCGATACGAAAAAAAAAAATAAAACGCAAAAC